TCCATCCCATACCCACCTCATCCTACCCACACACCCACGGTGCAGACCCACTTGACTCTTTTTTTCTTATTAAATTCAGACCAGTGATTTTGGTATTAAAAAAAAAAGAAAAAAAAAAAGAAAGAGTTTGGTAATATGTGGTCAGAAAGGAAGAATGCCCCTCACTGGGATTGAATGCGGAGCAAAAAAAAATTAAAAAATTGGCAAGTGGCCAATTTGCTGACTGGATATATCTCAAGACTGCCGCCCTTTTTTAGCTTCTTTTTTTTTTTTTTTTTTTTTTCTTTCTGATTTCCTATCTGCTGATTCAGCAAAGATGAGATGCCAGCTTTTGACAACAGAACAGCAGGGAAAAAAAAGATCAAACTTTAGGGCTTATCCGTACCAGGAACATCTGGGGCGAGGTCCCGCTAGCAAAGAGGATGGGATCGAATGCCTGAATCTGGACGAGTTTGTGGAGATGTGCAGGAAATCGAGATTGAACTGCGTTTCTGCATCTGTGCTTAAAACACATCCAGATTCAGGAGCTCTATCCTATCCTTTTTGCTAGTGGGACCTCGGCCCTGACTTACGCATCAGTGCACCACACATCGGCCCGCAGGTGTCAGCATAAAACCGGCACCACTTCAGAGGCCGCCAATTTTCTTTTCCAACGGCGCCCCCTCCGAGTTCTGCTTATGGTGACAAAAAGGTGCCGTGTACTTGCGGTCTAGACTACCAGCCGGGCCGCCCGGGTCACCCTCTTTTCCCAGGCGGCCCGGCCGTGCAAGGACCAGGGGTGAGGTCCCATAAGCAGTCGGATAGGAGTGTGGCCGATCCAGTGTGACACTGAGTGGCAGCGGCCAGACAGGTTCATTACGATTTTCCGGGCTGAGAAAACAGGAGTAAGGCAAAAAAAAAAAAAGAAACAGAGACCTCCCACCAGAAATCACGGCAGAGTGCTTTCCAGCCATCAGATCACAAATGATCTGATGGCGGTGGTGGCAACAACAGTGAACAAAATAACCGCCACATTTTCTGGAATAAACTTGACTTCTGTCAGCACAGATCCTGACACCCTCCATATACTCCCTGATTGAAGGAGGGCTCCACCCAATGAGATAATTGCACAAGAGGAAGGAAAATACTGAAAATCTTCTATCCAGTGGGCCTAAGGCCAACACCACCCTCCTTTGGCGTTGGCCACACCCCCAACCTATTGAAAAGATTCTGGCAGGAAGCTTTCTTTGCACGGGCATGCCCAGCCCTTCTTGCAAAATGGCCCGTTAGACTACTGGCATGAAGGAATACTCAACCGTGAATGATATTAGCCCAAGCCCTTCTTGGACGGGACTGGGGCTTGAGTGACCCTCGCGCACTTTGGCAAGCTCTACTTATGCACTCTTTCGTAACCTCTACCAAGTCTAGCACTCGGCAGCCTATCCTGAAGGCCAGGAGTAGGACACTACCCTGCACTATCTTCAAGCCTTCCAACAGAAGGGAGATTTTAGGGTCTTGCCTATTCAAAAATAGGCTGTATCAATTTCTGTATGGGACGCTGGACCCGTTTTCCAGCAGGTGATGCTCCCCACCAATAGATGGAGCATCTCCCCAGGTGCTAGCAATGTCTGCTCTAAACAGCATCGCTAGCACTGGTGGGTCTGTTTTCATTAAAAAAAAAAAAAACAAAAAAAAAACGCTGATCACTACCTCTTCAAACCTCTCCTTGCTATTGGAGGATGCTCGTATACAGACGCAACTCTTTGCTTCATCCTGGAAGCCAGGGAAGAAGTACCTTGCCAAAGATCAAGATAAGATCCCCATGGAGGGGGATGAGGACTGGCAAGAGACCGGTGTTCTTGCAAAGGAGCACAAAGGCATCCTTGACAAGAGGTTTGCTGTCATTCTGGGCGGACAGCCTTGGGGAGAATGGAAGATTGACGTCCGGAAGGTGGGATGGGTTCGCTCAGACGAATCTACCTCGACATCCATAATTATCCCGATCTCAGAGTATAGTCCACAGACAGGATACGCACTGCGATCAAATGCTACTACCCTCAGGCTGAAGATGAACATTCCGAGTTCATGTCGGAGAAAAGAAGTGACTTCTTCTTCACTTCCCAACCTCAGTATCCAATGGGCGACATCATTCATAGTGCTACTAACGAATACCCTGGAAGTGAAACTGAGTGGCCTGCAATGGCTGCACCTTCACTCCAGTGTTCCCACTGCTGCCTGGTGTTCTGAGAAAGGCATGCAGATTGATCCGCTGTGCGATGTCTGCCCCCATGAGTCCCTGGAAGACATGCCACACCTCTGGTGGGAATGCGTGGTCGCCAGGGGCTTCTGGGAGTGGCTCAGCAGGATGTGTTTTTTTGCATATGGTCCAGAAACAATTTGGACCAATGAGTTCTTTTTTTATTTCCTTTTTTTTTTCATTTTAATGGGCAACTATGCACAGGATGCTAAGATGGTAATAGCCAACAAGTTCAGAGTTGCGGGTTTTTGGATACTGTGGCTCTTTTTTTCTTTTTCTTTTTTTTTTTTGTTTGGATACTGTGGCTGGACAGAAGAGAGAGACGATTTAATAGGGTACAATGGTGCCAATCAACTGTCAGGAACAAATTAAAAATTGCAATAAGGAACCTCATTGSTGCAGAATGGAGGAAAGCCAAGCTCTCTGACGTCCTCGTTAAAAAGGCAAAAGTTAGAATGGAGGCAGCATGGGGTAAACCTTTTAGGTGGATTACATTATCAGAGAAGGGCCTGTTCCTTGCCCAGCCACCGGCCACCCGGATCATCCAGCTTCAGCAGCTCGGGTAATCGACAACTAAGAAAGAAACGGCAACTCAGAGGAAGCCAGGCGACGTCCACTTCAGATAAGGCAATATCGTGCTTCCCGGTACAGGGAAGGAAGAAGAGCACCGTACACATGATGTGCCTCCAGGTACAGGGGCCAGGAGAAACACATGGGATCGGCAGCATGGGATCTTCACACAATCTGAGAATACCTACCCACACAGTTGCATACGCATAATCCTCTCTTAATCACCTGGTCTTTAGCTAACTGCATTGTAACGTAAATGTTAGTTGTCTCAGGTCAGTCCTCCTTGTACATCTTCTGATCTGTAGGGCTCAAGGATAGAGAAAGTGTTAAGCAAGGGAGAGGACTGGGTAAAGGGTTTAAAGGGTTTAAAGAGTTTAAGCAGAGGAGTACCGAAGGGGAAGGGTTTAAAAGGGTTTAAATGGTTTAAAAGGTTTAAAAGTCAGTGTAAAAAAAAAAAAAAAAAAAA